AAAAAAAAAAAAAGCAGTTTATCAAAAAAATAAAATTTCTTCAAAAAAATTTTTTAAAATATTAAAATTAGCTACTTTTCTCTTTTCTTATAATTTCTTTGTTTTTACTTTCGCAACTCAGATACTGTAATAAGACTGTGAATAGTGAAGATGTCATAGAAGTGGATATTTTATCCAATACAGCAACACGTTTACTGCAGAATAAGAAGTTTTTTGATAAACGATAATCGCTGTTCATCACACCCGTTAAGCGATATGTCATTATAATTATCGTTTTAGTAATTAATTATCTGTATCAGTTGATAAGTTGTGAAAAAAAAGGAACAGCACCAACATATTATCTAGTTTATTTCGCAAGTCATTTCCAAAGACTGCTTTTTGTGAATACGTTAACGGTGTTAATAACCATCAGAATTTTGATCTAACTACTTATCGTAGGAACAAAGTTCAATACTTGGTCTTAATCTGCAGTCTAATAAAACTTATTGGTTAGTACATCAAACAGCGATTATCGAATTTTGTTAGTTTACTCAGTTCAACAGTTCATTTTACAGTGGACGACATTTTTTCAGCTGTATTTGATAATTCCTGACAAATGGTATAACAAGTGGTGAAAACATTTGATTGTTTGAAAATTTTTGAGTTGCTCGTATCAAATCAAAAATAAACTTATTTCACGAGGATAGAATAAAAAAAAAAAAAGAAGGAGAAAAGATAGAACAAAAATAAAGAGTATAAAAACAGAATTGTTTCAGCAGTTCAATTTTTTTTTTTCAATTTTTTTCTGGTTTACTTTCAGATTTGCTTTTCATACAAAGCAGCAAAACGTTTGTTTGAAATGAGTGGTTTATTGAATTCCCACAACGCATGTCAAAGAATAAATACTTCTTAAAAAAAAAAAAAAGTTTTTCCTTTATTGCTCTTTTCGGTTTGCTGGGAAGGGAAAGGAGGAAAAAACGAGAGGCAAACGGAGAAGAAGGATGGGTTAGCGCTTCTTCCTATTTTTTATATTTTTTTCCAACGGTTTACGAGCAAAAATCGTTATTTTAATATTATAAATAAAAAAATCCTCTCTTATTTCAAAAACTTTTTTTGTTTTAGCAGTTTCGCTTTTTGCTTTAAAAAATCTTTTGACCTTTTCTTTTTTTTTTTTTTTTTGCATATATGATACCTCAATTTCTATCCAAAATATCAACAACAGCAGTTGGACAACCAATTGCAGATTTTAGAAGAAGAAGAAAAGCAGAAAACAATTTTTAGCTTTTTAGAAAAAGTTTTCTATTATGCTGAATTCAGCAATAAATTATTCAAAAACGACATCAATTTCAAGTATTTGTTTTGTCTGTTGAGCACTGCCTCTGGAGACGGTTGAATAAACTGCCAAAAACTATAAATATGCTGAGCTAATTGTACTGCTTAAGGGTGAAGTTATGACTAGTCGGGATGATGATTTTTGGTATTTATTATCAACTGATTGGGAATAAGATTATAGAAATTTTGCTGAATAGCCCTGTAATAATGGTGAATCATTGTTGGTGCTTGTTTTGTGACGTAGTAGACAATTCTGAGCGGTGACGTTGACAATGGCGGTGACGACGGTTACGATTTTGATGGAGAATAACGATGACCAACAGCAATCCGGTTTCATATAAAGCTTTTCTTATTGACCAGTTAATTGCTCACCAAAGAAGAAAAAAAGAACTTCTGGACATCAACTCTGGTAATCGTTAAGATTAGCAAAGGCTTTCTATTTTCATTTTCAGATTTTTTTTTCTTTGACAGTACTCAAAAAAAATTATTGCAACTAAGCTTAAAAATATGTCTATAAAGAAAAGAAAGAGACTGAAAAAGATTACGACTGTATACCTGTTGATAAGTAAACTTTTGAGCTCTACAGAATCTGTCTAAGTGCAGTACAAAATAAATAACATAGTGTTTAACAAATGTTCATTTAATTAGGATTTGGGGTACAAAACTTACATAACATTTTTTTCAAAGTTTAATAGTAACAGCCAAAAACAAAGTGGAAAATTATTTAAAAATTATATTTTGAAATTTTTTCTGATATAAAAGTTTTTTTCTGGCTACCAAAAAGAAAGAGTGATGTAAAAAGAACGAGTAGAAGCTGCTTTAAAGAAT